CGTGGGCTCCAGCAAATACCCCAGAGAGAAATAGAACTCTCACTCCTGGTGGGGTAGGATTATGATGTAAAATGGTTGTGGAGAGCTCCTGACTCCTGTTGTGGTCTCAGGAGATGGGCAGATACCCTGAAGTATCTCTATGGCAAATAAAACACACAGGAATGTGAACTGTGGACATACAGCAGTGCAGTGAGGTGTATGTATATGGATGTACCTTTGCCTCCAGGGAGATGTGTCGCTGCCCTATATTTTATTTCAGTGAGAGGCAACCCTGCCTTACCAGTCTTTCAGGACCAAGCATTCAAGTTGTCTGTGTGTCACTTACATATCCAGTCTCTCAGCAAATCTGTCATTTGCAAATACCTTCTGGATTCATTCTTGCCTCTACATTCAATCCACACCACTGCTGACCCCAGCTGGGCCTTAGACTACTTGCATCTAAGTTACTGCAACAATTTCCTGGCTGTCTCCCCTCAGGGGCATCCTCTGTGTCACTGTCACTATGCAGTTAATCTGCTGTTTGCCACCATTCCCCTGCTTAACGGCCTCCTTTCCCAACAAATAAAACTCAGACTCCTTAGCTTAGAATTTACAGCTCAGGCAGAAGTAATCTCTCCCTCTTTTTGTATCTTACCTCCCTCCTTGCTTTTGGCCCTACTTTACCTGTGCCCTCCCATAGGATAAGGTAACTTATCACCTTAGACTTTGTAAAGCTCTTTATATGTCTTGAGTACAGTGCTAAATGTGCTGTTGTTAAGGAAAGTAAGGGGAAGAATTCACATCTGGTCCATTTCTGCATCCCCTAAAGTGTCTGATATAGTTTCTAAATGAATGATAAAGCATCTCACAGTTATTGCATGCTTATTCTAGATCAAATATGGTAGGAGAACTTTATGTGCATGATGCATTTACAATCCTTACAGTAACCCTGTAAGGTAGGTAGGCAGTTAGACCCATTTCATAGACAGGGAAACAAGTTTAGAGAAGCTACTTACCTGGGATCTCACTGCCAGGAAGAGGCAGAACTGGAAGATGGAAAATGAAAGATGAAAGATGTGAAAGAGAGAAAGAAAGTGCACATTGGAGAGAGGCAGAGAGATAGGGAGACAAAGGATCTGAAGCAGGCTCTGTGCTGACAATAGAGAGTCTGATGTGGGGCGCGAACTCACGAAACGTGAGATCATGACCTGAGCCGAAGTCAGGTGCTTAACTGACTGAGGCACCCAGGTGCCCCATCTTCCAATTTTTTTTTAAAAAGAATTGTTTTATTTATTTTTTTTACAGTCTGAGTTACTGATATATCATGTCCCCTCTTTGAACAAGCTTCTATTTACAGAATCCCAGAAAGATGTGATTTTATTAAAAAAAATTTTTTTTTTTAATTTTTTTTTTTTTTATTTATTTCTAGGAGAGAGAGAGAGAGACAGCGTGAGCAGGGGAGGGTCAGAGAGAGAGGGAGTCACAGACCGAAACAGGCTCCAGGCTCTGAGCTGGCAGTCAGCACAGAGCCCGACGCGGGGCTCGAACCCACGAACCGCGAGATCATGACCTAAGCGAAAGTCGGACGCTCAACCGACTAAGCCACCCAGGCGCCCCTATTAAAAAATTTTTTAACTAAAAATTTTTTTAAAAAGGGGCGCCTGGGTGGCTCAGTTAAGGATCCCACTTTGGCTCAGGTCATGATCTTGCAGCTGGTGAGCTCAAATCCTGAGTCAGACTCTGTGCTGACAGCTCAGAGCCTGGACCCTCCTTTGGATACTGTGTGTGTGTGTGTGTTTCTCTGCCCCTCCTCTGCTCATGCTCTGTCTGTCTCTCTCTCAAAAATAAATAAACATAAAAAACTTAAAAAAATTTTAAAAGTATTTTTAGATTAGAGAGAGAGAGAAAACGAGCAAGGGAGAGAGGCAGAGAAAGAGAGAGAGAATCTTAAGCAGGCTCCATGCTCAATATGGAGCCCAATCCAGGGCTCAATCCCAGGACTCTGGGATCATGACCTGAGCTGAAATCAATAGTCGGATGCTCAACCCATTGAGCCCACATGTGCCCCAATACATGCTTTTAAAGTGAAAATATATGCTAAAATTTGGCAAATTAGTAGTCCTAAATGTTACATGTTTGAAGCATGAGTAGGAGAGTAAATATGGCAAATCTTGACATGTGGCATTAATATTGTACTCCTTGATCCTATATTCTACGTGTGCTGTATATTTCACATATATGCACCTAAATGCATATATGCACCTGAACTAATTATATTGTTATTAAACTGTCTCTGTATTCAAGACAGATGAAGTCACATGAATTCACTTAGTAATTGATGGGAAATTCTATTGGAATGTTTTAGCAATATTTAATCGACAGTCATTTAATGATACTATCAAACAAAGTAAATAAAGTAACTTTTGGGCTGATAAAAAAAAGTGTTTAGTACCGTTGAGTATTCTAAGAACAGTTGTCACCAGAGTAGGAAAAGATCATCTTTAGGAAGGTGTCTTCCAGCTGAGCCTCCTGATTCTCAGAAATCCAGCTTCTCAGGTAGAAGCAGCAAGAATGATTGGTGATCGACATGGCCACACTGGTCAGCACAGGCATGTTGAATCTGAGACCACTTGGTTCAGGACAGCAACAAGTGCAATTCCAGCTTTACTGGTGTCAATGATTGTGTGTAGTCTCATTTCAAAACAGCAAGATTGCTGTTGCCATTGTGGTATTTGTGGTCCCCCGAGGTAAAGAGCATGGTCAGATTCATTGTGAGTTCTCCTTCTGAGTCTTTGGACCTCAAACTTTGCCCTTGAGCAAGAGCATCTATCTCACTTCTCAAATGGGATCTCAACATGAGAAGCAATTTTCATGAATGGTTCCCTGAAGTATTAAGAAGGCCTGCAGAAAGATTGAAAAGCAAAGATTTTATTTGTCCTCAGAGATGAGATGAGCCACTATCCATTGAGGTGATGGGCAAATTGTCACAGGAAATGCCTGCTACAGCATACACAAATCATTGCTTTCCCTACCATGTTCCAGCTTTTTTCTAGATCCTTTGGTAACAATTATCAAATATCAGATTATTGATGAGGTGTCTGCTGACCTGGGATGTGCAGAGCACATGTTCCTGTGGGCAGTTTCTTTGGTTCATAATAATGAACATCTGCATGGGCTTCCCAACCTCATCTGCATGACTTCACCAGACATGTCTGTTCCAATGATCCTGAAACTGTGACCGCTTCTCATGGTTTCTGATTCACACACTGGGCCACTGTCATGAAGCCACCCACACAGTTTAACGGGTTGACCTTTGAAAATGTTCTTTAGTCCATATGGTTGTCTTCAGTAGAGAACTGGTCATTGGGGTTCTGTTTACCAAAGAACTTCTTGTCATGACTATGGGTAGGCCTGGAAGAAGAGTGTCCAACTCAGAGAACATCATTCTTGGTGCAGGAAATGCTTTCTCCTTTTGTGTTTTGAGTGCTTATCATTTCTTCAGTTGCTGCTACATTTATAGCCTGGCCTCAGTACCTGTGATATCTTTTAATCTACTACTAACAGTTTACCTGAAGTGCTTAACAAAAAAAAGCAGCTCATTCTGTTATGAAACGTATTTGTGTCTTTTCTGTATACTTGTGCATTTTACTGGGCATTTTAGTTGCATTCTTAGAACATATTCTTAGAGGGGCGCCTGGGTGGCTTAGTCGGTTAAACGTCCGACTTTCGCTTAGGTCATGATCTCGCGGTTTGTGGGTTCGAGCCCCGCGTCGGGCTCTGTGCTGACTGCCAGCTCAGAGCCTGGAGCCTGTTTCAGTCTGTGACTCCCTCTTTCTGACCCTCCCCTGCTCACGCTGTCTCTTTCTCTCTCTCTCCTAAAAATAAATAAAACATTAAAAAAAAATTAAAAAAAAAAGAACATATTCTTAGAATATGTTGACCAACCTTCCTCAGCCTTCTGTTTTCTTTTGATCTTATGTCTCCTTTACAAAATATAGAAACATTTCTCTCTACTCCTCCTGTTCCCAGTGATAATATATATCTATAGGCTTTCCCTGTAGGAGTATATTTGTTCTACAGAGAGCAATGGATAAAATCTCTTTATAAAGTCTTTTGTTTTCTTCCAGTGGATTTTTTGTTTGTTTGAAAAAAAAACCCAGAAATAATATTTTCAACCTTTGGAAGTAAAAGATACATTTGTAGTTGCTAGTTTTTTGTTTGAATTTGAAGTTGTTTGAACCTGGCAGGAGAAAGCTTCAGACATTGCCCCTTTGTCTTGTCTTATATGGTGGCCCAACATCTGCTCAGTCATCCAGGCCCCAAACCTGGGACCCCTCCTGGACATCCCTGATACCCTATCTCCTCTTCATATTCAATCAGTTACCAAGTCCTGTTGACTCTATTTTCTTTTTTTGGTCCTGTTCTCTTCTTAATGTACACGCTAATGGGGTCCAGTAGTTGGGAGATGTGACACCTATATTCTGTAGGTTCTTGTGGAAACTCTACATGTAGGTACTAGGTACTAGATACCTACTCTGTAAGTACTTGTAGGTACTCTACATGAGAAACTCAGTTTTTACGTTTGTCTACCTACTTTTTGATTTGCTATGTGGTCCTGTTAAAATGATAAATGATTATACTAGTCAGCTCTCTATAGTAGTTTGCTCCATAACTCCCACAGACTCAGTGCCTTAAACAATAAGTTATGTATCATATGCCTAAGGGGTGGCTACAGCTGACTGATCTAAGCTAGACTTGGCTGGAAGGCTCAGTTGGGTGCCTCTGCTCCATGTGTCTCTTACCTCCTTGGGGGAGCAGCTGAGCCAAAGCAAGATCTTCTCAGGGTGATGTTGACTCCACCTTGCAACTGTCACCATCCTAGGTGAAGTCACTACTGTCTCTTGCCTGGATAAGTAGTCAGTCTAACCCTTCCCCCACATCCCCAAAAAGTTGGTCTCCCTGCATCTCTCCCAATCTGTTCCCCTTATAACAATGTTACCTTTTAGAAATACAAACATCATCTACAGTGAATTAAGCTGACTGTGCTTTTCCCCCACAGGGCCCCAGTGTGCATTGGCTGCATACAGTAGCCTCTTTGGTAGTGTATGCGGCCTGTTGATTGTATGGGTTGCCCTAGGGGACATCGCTTTCCAGTGGCCATTGATATCTGAACTCATGCTATCTCCAAACTAGTTCTAAACAGGCATGCGGGGGTGTCTTTGGAAAGGCCCAGAGCACAGAGGTGGGGGTCCACGTTGGCCGAGTCATCATGTCCATCCATAACAAGTTGCAGAACAAGGAGCATGTGATTGAGGCCCTAAGTAAGGCCAAGTTCAAGTTTCCTGGCTGCCAGAAGATCCACAATTTCAAGAAGTGGGGCTTTACTAAGTTTAATGTGGATGAATTTGAAGAAATGGTGCTCATCCCAAATAGGTAACATCAAATACATCCCTAATCATAGCCGCTTGGACAAATGGCGGGCTGTGCACTCATGAGAACCTTAGCACCACCCATCTCCTTTCATGCCCACCAATAAATCCTACATCCTGTCAAAAAATAAAAATAAAAATACAAACATCATACTGCTGAAAAACTTCAGTAGCTTCTTAGAGCCTCAGGCCAAGGCTCCCAGGGACTTCCGCTGAGAGATTCCTGCCTTTTGACTCATCCTTGCCTGTCAGCCATCCTGGGGTTCCTTTCCTTCCTTGCATAGCACTTTCCTGCCTTGATTCAGGGCTTTGCATATGCTGTTCCTTACCCCCCCCCCCCCCGCCCCCCATCTCCATATCCTTTGTCCAGCCAGCTCCTCATTTAATCTTAAATTTAAATCTCCTTGACCTCAGAGAGGGCTTACTAGATACTCCCCATCAGTTCCTAGAGTACCTCTATGTCACCCTTTGTAATACTCCTCAGACTGGTCCTTTCTCATTCAATTCTCCGCACTGGACCACAAGCTCTGTGAGGGCAGGGGCAATGTCTTGTTCACTGGTCTCCCCCTGGGCACCTGGACCACCAGCTCCCAGTCAGTGCTGAATGAATGAAAAGACCAGGAAAAGGGGTGGGAGGGAAAGGTCTGCCAATGAGCCAGGGATGCTCAAGATCTTGTTTTTCACACCTGCAGATTTGGGGGTCAGACCAGGTGGAGTCTACTGCCAGCCAACCCTGACATTTTATCTTCTCTGAAGACACACCCCAGCCTGTGAGTCTTTGCTCCTGAATGCCGGATTGCACTACTGGTTGTATTCAGGGGCTGGAGACGTTGGGTGAGGCTATGGATGAAGGGAGTTAAAAAGGTAACTGCTGTTGGTGGCAGGGCAGAGTAGAGGTGAAGCCAGCTATGTCAACTCCATGATCTTCCAGTTTCACAAACCAGAGAATAATAGCCATCAGAACAACACAGCCATGCACTTGGTCATACGAACTTTCCTGGGTATTAAAGCATGATAGCCAGACCAACCAAGTGTCTCCATTGAAGGTCTAGAGAATAGCCTTGCTTGGCCAATGGTTTCCTCAGGAGAAGTTAACTCATAGTGGCATTTCTCATTGCTAAATGTGGACACTGGAAAGTGACCTCCGGACCCCAGTCTGAATCCTTCCTTCAGAACTGCTGAGCACACTAGAGGTCTGTGAGGCTGAGTGTGATGTGGGGGCCAGTCAAGCATGTGGAACGCTGAACTATAGAAAGGGATCACAACCATGGGCATGTCCTTTCAGTCAAGGCTCTAGAGTCAACCCTGGATCCTCTGAGTTGAGGACTGACTAGCGTAAGTTCCTGCCTACCTTACCTGTACCTGAAGTACAGGTTCAAGACCCTGAACCCGTCTGTGGGTTGTATGTGACAGAATTCTTTCATGTCTTTCCATATATTACTAATGGATAGTTAGTATTATCTGAGTTACAAAAATTAGCCCTGTTTTTAAGGCTTTGGGCATGTTCAAAGCCATTCATGAGCTTTAACTAACACAAAAGGGACCTGCTGTTAAGGCCTATAGAACAAGGTTAAGTTTGCTTGGTCCACTGTGTCTGTGATTAAAATCTGGGGGAACATCTCCTAAGGTGCTGATACCCTACTGGTAATTCGACACTTCTAGGGAAGAGGTTCAACTCTGGACTTGGGTTTCCAAGTAGCAGCTGCTTTAATGACTTAAGTATATATCAGAGGTGACATCCATTAGCTAGCCCCATTGTTGGGTGCAGTTGTTGCTGAATGACTATATAGCCTACTGATGCAGAGCGGAAACAGTGACCTAGAGCCATGCCAGGGCTGCGGGACTCTGTCTCAGGACAGTCAGCTGAAGGGCGAAAGAAAATTCCTCACATCACTTACATTCACTCTCTGCTCCACATTGCAGCCCTAATATGGCTGGGCAGGTGACAGATCTCAGACCTACCAAGGTGCAGGTGTACAAGACCATGGGCGAAAGCTTTCTGAAGTCACAAGAGGTACTGTCAAATGGAACAAGCACACTTTTAATCTATTTTGAATGCACTGTTATTGCAAAGTGTGCAATCCCTGGGTGACAAGGGCAGACATGATCTTTTCACATGGAAGAGAATGTAGATCTAGACTATTCCAGCTTGATTCACATGACTGTAAGAATTAAAGTCACAACGTCACAGCGATTCTGTGATCTGTAAATATTTATATGAGCCTGTTCCAAACCGAAACAGCTAAGTAATGAATTCACTTCATGCTGTTTATAAAAGTAAACAAGTCACTTGGATAGTATCTGGGTCCCCCCTAAAATCCCCAAAAATCAAGAAAGTTACTTAATACTTTCTTTTTATGTTTTGAACTGATGTGTTTCCAGTGATAAATGCAAACGCACATCTCTATTATCTGCAACATACTCAAAAAGCAGAGTTTCCTTTGTCAGAATAAGTCAGAATCTGAGGGGAAGAAAGTGCCGAGAGATTTTCTGGACGTTTCTGGAAGCCAGCTTTGGGGAGCAGTGCTGTGAGCGGCCTTTCCCCAACCATCCTGTGTGTTGGAGGAACCCAGATGTGTTAGACTGAAGATTCTTATTTGGAAGATTTGGGATGGGGCTGGAGATTCTGCATTTGCAACAAGCTTGCAGGTGTCCTGATGGTGCCTTGTCTCCATGTGTGCGGGGACACCTTTGTTGTATCAGGCCCAGGTATAAGCTGCAGGATGCACCCTCTACCCCTTTGTCCCTGCCCTACTTCCTGCTGCCCCTCAAATCTTGGCTGCTGAGACTTACCTTCACTAAGGGAGAGCTTAGCTCAGGTTGGGACCCTCCCTCTGGGTCCCCACTGCCCTCTGCAGGACCTCCCTCGGCAGGAAGAAGCACACTCACTGTGAGGAGTATATCTGGTGTCAGGTGACTTAGGCAGACAATTCTGTTTATTGTCAACCAAGAAACAAAGTGTGGAGGTGCTCTATACAAGCAAGGATGAGTTACAAGAGGGGTGGGTGCAGAGGAGACACAATAATACACAGCGGTATTGGGAGTGAGCGCCAGCTCTTCATTCGAACACTTGAACCAAGGAGACAGCCATCCTTTTTCACTAAGGCTGAAGAAGAATGGAAACCGGACTCAGTTTATCAGCTCCTTACAGGGTGGGTGGAGCAAGAGGCTATTTTAAGCTGATGTAAGAAAGAGGCCACTCGTGTTCTGTTGGGAGCCTGAATCCCAAGCACAGAATGGATGCTGAAGGTGGGGTCCACAGCTGCCGGGGATGGCTGGACCCCGCTCTCTAGGTCCTGGGCTTCTCTTGATTCTCAATAATAAGCTTGTCGGTTGAATATAGTTGGCCAATGTGGACCTGATGGGAAAGAAAGACAGGCTCCGTTAGCTGTGAAAAGTCAGAAAGAGCATTTCTAACCTTTTAAATGCCAACGTCTACCACCACAGGACTGTTTCTTGTGGGAAACTGTATTGTGCGGCAAAGTGTAGTCACTAGGTTGGCCATTGCTAATTCCCTGAGCCCCCAACTCCCAGGTCCCTCACTGTGAGAACAAGTTAGAGATCCAGTCGTTCATTTTTGCCTTAGAAATGGCACCAGCAGCTGTGGCCTCAATTTCTCAAGCTGTCCTGAGCCAGCTCACTCTTAAAGTGAGTGTTTCTGTTAGTCCCCAGCTATTCCCTCTGTCCCAGGTAGATGCTGCAGCCATAACCGGGGGCCACAGCGATGACTGGTCCTTCCTTTGGAACAAAGGGTCTTTACGCAATTTCTCCAAAAGCATTTCCTAAGTGATACTTGCTTAGAAAATGGAGAATTGGTGCAGAAGGGATTTTAGAGCAATTGACCACTATCTATGAGTAATTCGGGGTCTTTGCTCTTGCAGAAAGTGACAGAAACTCTCAATGGCTATAGCAGACACCCAGAGCAGGCCAGGGGTCAGAAGCAAGACCCTCATGTGGCTTTTCCATCTTGCTTTAACATTCCATTTTATTATTTTGAGTGCAGTTGACACACAGTCTTGCACTGTTTCAAGTGTGCAACATAGTGATTCAACTTCTCTATATCTTATGCTGTGCTCACCACAAGTGTAGCTACCATCTGTCACCATCCAACGCTATTACAACAATAATTGATTCTATTCTCTCCACTCTGCCTCTTATCCCCATGACTTATTCCCACCTCATAATGGGAAGCCTGTATCTCCCACTCTCCTTCACCCATTCTGCAGATCCCCTCCCTGACCAGCAACCATCTGTTTGTTCTCTGTATTTTTAGGTCTGATTATGCTTTTTGTTAGTTTATTCATTTGTTTTGTTAAGGCTCTACATAGCAGTGACATTATTTGGTATTTGTCCTCAGTCTGACTTATCTCACTCAGCATTATACCCTCTAGGTCCACCCATATTGTTGCAAATGGCAAGATGTCCTCCTTTTATACTCTATTGTCATTACTAAGGTACAGTGGTGCTCTCTCGCCAATGACACTCCCACAGACCATCCGAATTTTCTCATTTTCCCATGCCACTGGGTATGTCTTGCATCGTACACTTGCGGAGAGATATCCCAATGGCCTGGGAGCACTAGTAACTCACAAGCATTGTGCTGCTAGAGGAAGGGGAAGGAAGACGTCAGAGCAGCCAAATTATTTACAGAGAAAGACAAAGTATAACAGTGGAGATTTTGGGGGATGAGATGATTGTGTAGATATTTTAACTGCAAGTGAATTCCTTCATCTGAAAAAGGGAAAGGGGTGGTGGTGGTGAATGAGTGCTCTGCACAGTTCTTAACAAAAGTCTGAGCTTTGCTCCTGTGTTTTCAGTCTCCCTTCTTGTCCATATAAAGAACACATATGGCTTCTGATGCAAGAGGAAAGGGTGGGCCTGGGATTCTGTGGACCACACTCTGAATGACATGACAATAAACCACCTTAAGGGGTGAGATTAGCTGGATGGGGTTTCATGATGAATGGAGCAGAGGCTGGTCCTGGCTCCCTTCTTGATGACTTGAGATAGCTGCGGGGTGAATGGAAGCTGTATTTACTCGACTTCAGACACAAGGTAGAACAGCATTCTCCAGGCTGGCTGCTATTTCATTTGCTAACCTTAACAGACAAATGGGCCCACTATCAATGCTTTTTATTTCATTTTTAAAAGGTTATTTTTATTTATTTTGAGAGAGAGAGAGCCAGCAAGCAGGGGAGGGGCAGAGAGAGAGGGAGACAGTCCTAAGCAGGCTCCATGCTCTCAGCACAGAGCTCAATGAGGGGCTTGAACTCACAAACTGTGAGATCATGACCTGAGCTGAAGTCAAGAGTAAGACCCTTAACTGAATGAGCCACCCAGGTGGCTCTCAGTGCTTTTTAGAAGAAAGGCTAAAATACCAATTATTCAAAAAGGAAAAAAAAAAGAATAGTTATTTTTTGGGGGGATGTCTAGGTTAATAAAAATAATTTTATATAACAGCTCAAATGATTCAGTTACCTGGGAACTTGTTTCATATTTAATTGGTCTTGGGAGGATTTACCAGGAACCCCTCTTAGAAGTGTCTACACCCATGTTCCATGAGTGCTTGGCTGAGTTTGTCAGTGTTTTTTTCAGGGTTCTAGTGGCAGGCAGAAGTTATGATATGGTATAAGGAAGAACTCGTTTACACAGCTGTCAGAAAATAGAACAGGCTACCTTGGGAAGCAGGCAATTCCGTATAAGGAGGAGGTGACGATGGAGAAGGATTTATATGCTGGACAGAGGTGGAACCAGATGGGTTTCTTCCACCTCTCAGCCTCTGTGACTATAATGCTTGTCTGGGTCCCCAGGGCCCATCCCAGAGCAGCTGGGTGGCCCGAGGGGCCCAGTGTCGAGCCGTGTGTTCTGAAACCCTGGAAGAAAAGGTGGACTCCTTGGTTCGTGGAGACTGTTTAATGATCCAGCAGCACACTTATCATGCCACAGAATAAACACATCTTCTCCCACACAACTCACTTTGTGGACACTGTGCTAACAGCCACCTTCCTGATGGATGGGTTAGAACCCTGTTGTGTGGCCTTTCTCCTGTGTTCCTAACTAAGCCTCCAGGGACACAGTTAACATAGTATTGGCTCTCTTTGTCCCCCAGTCTAAAGGATGGCACCTTGGGGGACAGGTGCTCTCTTGAAAGAGATGCAGTTGTGGTATGGGGTGACCTAGTTGTGCAGCTCCATATAAAAGGCTCCAAAGAAAACTGCAGAATGAAGAGTGAGGGGCGATCCAAAGAGCTCAGGTTTTAGGGAACTTGAATCAAAGTAAACCTTCAAATTTGCAGCCCATTTTGAAGCCCACTTTGAAAGAAGTATGAATTAGGTTTTTAAAATTCCATCAAGATACAACACTTTCATGGCTTTTGAGGGAGAAAAAAAGAATGAAATCAGACCTTATTGTTAATGATATTAAGAGAGCATAACAATATCTTTTCATCTGTCCAGGCGCCCTTGGGCTGAGAGCCACTGTCATGGTGTCTGCCCACCTTCCTACGTACCACTGAGCCTCTCACAGACTGCCATGACACTCTGGGTTTTCCAACTTCTGTCTTTGCTCAGGGTCCTCCACCAACAAAGGTTCATTCCATGTCCACCAGGCAAAAGCCTACCCCCCACTTCTGGCAAATGGTTGAAACTTTCCTGGGTCTCCTCTGCAGAAGGGGCTCGTTCTCTCTCTCTCTCTCCTGGGAACATTCACTGCATGTATCTGTGTGTCTGTATCAGTTCCTTTTCATGAATATCAGTTACTGATTGGGAGAAAGGAGGGGCTCACCTTCTACTTGTTCTGACTTAGCTGACTTCACAGCACAGTTTAGGACAGTACAAGGCACGTAGGAGGTGTTCGGTAAGTACTTGACAACTAAAAATGCCAGTGTCTAGTGTCCCTGGTCGTAACCAAAGCTCTGTGTCCACCATTTCTGAAACCCAAATCTGCAAGTAATTATTGCAGTGCTTTGGTGAGGAGCTACTAAGTGGGATTATGGAACTGATAAAGGCAAGTCAATAAAAACAGCAGTAGGACCATTTTATTGCAACAAGAATGCTCACTCACTGTTAAGCAAAATCAAATGATTTAAATTTGGCCCAGTAGAAACTTTAAAGCTATAATCCAGGGCTATAAGGGATTAACCCAGAGCAATTACAGAAGATGTAAGAGAAATATTCAGTTCACACAGGGAGGAAATATTAAAAAGTTATCTCAATGAGAGCTATAGAGGCGAGGCAATAAATGTTTGTGTAACAGTTCTGTTGCATTTATTTGGGCTATAAAATGTGTCAGCACGCACGGGGGGCCAGCCGGGGATGGATGCTGTGGTGCTAATGACGGAGCATGTTGCTTCTGAGCTGCATGTGAGAGGAACCGGTCAATGAAGTGAGGAAGTACAGTTACCAGCTTCAATTTATAGCCCTTCCAGAAGCCCCCACATGGGCTCAGCCAGCCACATCTGACTATTACCATGCATAAATTGGTCATTAAAGCTGATCGCACTTCTATTCCATAAACTTCAGGAGTTGGCATTAGAGTCCATTAGAAAAATACACAGATTACTCAACTGCAAGTAGATGGGATGGTTGGATGGCCTAGAAACACTTATGAGCTCTGAAACTCATTAGGCAAATAACCTGCTGGGGAGGAAGAAGGAGGATCCAAGAAAAGGAAACTGAGTACAACATTTCAGGTCTTCATTGCTTACTCATCTGCGGCAATGCACTGTCTCCTGTGCAAAACATTTCAATCTGATTTAGACTCAGAGGAGCTGGGCTCAATTGCCAGGGGTGGGGGCGGCGGGGAGACTGAAATGGGGACTGCTACTTCCTGCCTGTTTCACAGTTGTTATGAGAATCAAATGGGATACAAGACTTGAAGAAAAGGTACCAGTTGCCCCAGATACTTCCTAGGGCTCAATTACATTAACTGTCTTCACATTGTTGAGAGGATTAAATAAGAACAGTACTAGGCATATAGTAAGGGCTTGTTTAATGTTACTTATGTGCATGGCCTGTCTGCTGTTGAGAGGATTACCACAGGGTGTCAGATCTTGACCTCAAAGATGTTTTCTCAAAGCCTCCTCAATATGACCCTGTAGTTGTTAAACCCACTCACACTGGAGAGGATGTCAGTGATGTCTGACACCACCTCCTTGTTTTGAACTTGAGCTTCCTGGGCTGGACTTGAGGACTGACTAGCTTTCCTCATCTCTGCTCTGGGGCACAGCTTCCTGACCAGTAGGACCATAATGCTTCCAGCTGGTCAGGGCAGTCTGGTGTGAGAAGGAGCTCCACTGAAAAGTTTTGGGAGAGATGCTGACACCTGGCTCTGCTAGAGAAGCCAAGGGATAGGCTGTCC